AAAGAATATCAGTGATGACAGCACATGTGCGTATCCACGGTTGAGCTCCCAGTAGTGGCTCCATGGTGAAAAGACAGATTTGTCTCTTGAGAGGTGTATCCATGTTGCCAGAGGTTGTCTTTCTCACCCCCAACTCTCAGCCAGTCCAGTGTAAGCATGTTTAGGTCTCTGGCTGTGGTTATTGAAGTGATTCCTTTTGTCTGTCCTGCTCTGAAGAGGTGAAATAAATACCTTGCAGATAGATGCTTCTGTTTTCTGTGAAGGTTACCACCATGCGTTTTGATGCATCTAAAAATCAGTCTGCATTGATGTATGTGGAACTAATGCTATAATGAAGAAGCTACTGCTGAGCTGTGGTGCATATTTTTGAGAAGCAGGAAGTACTGCTGAAGGAAGCTGTAGGCACCCGTAAGCTTGTTACTAATAATAATACAAAAATACAGTTGTTTGGACAGATGCATGTCTACAGTAATTTACCTTCACTGTGGAAGATTTGTTAAAAGCCTGCCCCAGGTAAATGAAATCCGTAGTGTATATAATGTGCAGCCAGACAGTGAGTTGGCAGTAATTAATAACCATAGTTGTCTTCCTTGCATTCCTAAAGAGTCTGCTTACTCTTCATCCAGTAAGATCAATGGTTGTCTTGGTTTAGGAATAGAATTTTAAAGGAGATGCTTATTCTAGTTGAAAAATTTTTACTTTATACAAAGAATGACCTACATGTATATCAGCACTAAGGTTCTCTGATGATCTATATCAATACAGCTGTATATGTATGTGAATGTGCTTTATATCTCCATTATGTACATTTTGACAGCTGAATCGAAGTGACAGTGACAGCTCAACACTAGCCAAAAAGTCTCTCTTTGTGAGAAATGCCACAGAACGGCGGAGCCTAAGAGTTAAACGGGTATGTGTTACGTTACCTGGACGTGGTTTAAAACAAAGTATGGGGAGAGAAGGAATAACACGTCTTGAAATTAAAGCATATTGTTTATTTCAGCAAAATTGATGCAAGCAGTACATGTCGTTGTGTAGTTCCTGGTTGAAATCTCACCACAGTTGTCTCAGTGCTATGTCTTCCCCCATGAACCAAGCTAATGTTCTAGTTGTGGCTGAAGCCAGCAGCCAGACACTGGTGCTCAGCATCATGGCATTTACTGGTGAACTTTAGCTTGTTGCTGTCAGAGGAATGTGGTTTAAGGAACCCAGCTACTCTAAAGTGACCCAAGGTGGCTTATGCTACCAAAAGTCAACACCAGAAAAATGTGCCTTGAGCAAATTTTGGACAAAGTTTCAAGGATTCAGGTGCCCTTTTAAAGAGGATTTACTCTTCTCCAAGACTGAGTAGCAAAATGATTGAAGGACAAGAGAGCAAGGTTGTATTTCTCTTGCATGGAGTTCTTTCTTGCATAAGTTGAGAGCTCTATTTTAATCTTGATGGTAACTTTAAAAACACTTCAGAGAAGGATTTTACCAGGTAGCAGGATTACATTTGGCATAAAGAAAGAAATACCGAATAGTCTGGGATGGCTCCTCATGTGAAAAGTCACTGTCGAAGGATAGTAAGTAATGTGAAATATGCTAAAGAAATGCATTTTCACAACGTTTGTAACAGTATGTGTTTGCTTAAGCACTGAAAAAGGAAATGCTTATAAAAATAAATAGAGAGGTTGAAATCTCTGGGGAAGTCTGCACAGTGCTGTCCTGGGGAGCAGAATGGGTTTTTTTTGTTTTAACTTGTAAATATATTGTTGTACATCTGGTTGGAGAAACTTTTGCATTCATTTTTTAGCTAGTGCCTGAAGAAAAACTGCAGAATAGATGAATTTTTGGACTTGGATCTCATCATAGCAGCTTTCTGCTAAAGAAAAACAAAAATATTTGAGCTTTTCTGACTGTATCATGTCAAAGCCTACATCAGCCTCTCTAGATAATAACTTTTATTGTTCTGTCTCCCAGATGATTCAGCCTGTTTGCCAACCAATCATGCGAAGAGCTACACAAGAGTGCCCTGTACGCACTTCCCTTGACTTGGAGCTGGACCTCCAGGCATCACGCACAAGGCAGAATCGACTGAATGATGAGCTTCAGGCCTTGCGGGATCTTAAACAAAAGCTTGAGGAAATGAAAGGCAGAGGAGAGACAGATCTTCCCCTGTGTGTGCTAGAGGATGAACGATTCCAGAAACTCTTGAAACAGGCTGAAAAACAGGTATGAGCAGCATACAGATACTGTGTGAGTGAATGAACATAGGCCCCTGCCTTTTCTGTAAATTTGTTAAAGAATTTGGCTTATAGTGTTAAAGCTCTTTTTACAGAAGCTCACAATTGACTAAATACACTTCTGGATTGCATAGTGTAAACTATTTCTTTATTGGTCAATACTACAGTATTTAAACCTAGAATCTGACATACTAGTTTTCTAGTACTATGTAAATACTTTGGCAATGCAGAGTAGAAACCCTATTATTTGGAGTAATAGCAGTGGTGTAGTAAACCAGTGTTTACTTAAAAGTTAATTTAAAATTCTCATGTGCCAGCTGTACTTCTGCAGACACACATGTGGTTTTTGTCCTTCAGAATCAGGTGATTTGCAGCCTGCACAGAAATTTGAGAGAGGCAGTGACTATTAGTTATAGTGGTAGGGGTATCTGGGAAAGGCAGTACTTCCACTGTGGCTTATTTCCTTATGCAGGACATACTTGTTCTAGTTTTGGCAGAGGAAAGCCAAATTCTATTCCCTATGTGATGGTTTCTAAAACAATACAAGTATATATGCACTTTCTCTAAACTCTGTAAGGTAGTTGGATGCCCTTATGGATAAAAGACAACAAACAAGATAGAACAAGTGAAAGGCAACAGTGACAAGTTGGAACATGGAAAATTCCAACAAGATGTATTAGAAAGTGGGAAGGTTGTTTGTTGGTTTAAAATTGCGAACGTGATCATACACTGGAATATGGGCCTAGTAGGAGAGGAAAAAAAGGTTGGACAAAACAAAGCATTGTTTTATGATGTAAATATATGTTATGCCTGTAACTTAAACATTGTTCAGTTCTGGATAATAAGTTCAAACTGGATAATAAGGCTACAGGGGGTTGCCAAGAATGGTCAGAGGAGGAAACAGCTTTCTGTTAGGAGTGGCTAAGTAGCTACAACTGAAGTCTATAAAATAATGGGTGAGGTGGAGGAAAGCACTTAATCACTGTCCTTTATAATACAGGAAGTAGGGAATTGAAGAGGTTGCAGATTAAAGGAAAGCAATCATAGCACAACATTTAGAAACTGTAAAAATGTTTTCCATGGAACATTGAGTGCTGCAAGTCTGTAGAGGTTTGAAAAGCAGTTTGATAAATTCATGGAGGAAATATCCATCAGAGGTCATTAACCATAATGATATCACCTACTTCAAGAAGTCTGACTGTCTGATAGTTTAGGAAACAGAATTTTTTCCCAATATGTTCTCCCAGCTCTATGCTTATGCCCTGTTCTGTCCTCTCTGTCTTCTTGTCTCTCTTTCCTTGGCATCTGCTGTTGGCTATAGCTAGTGGAGTTCTAAAATGGCTGTAAAGTACTAGCAGAGTTTAGGTTGAGCATTAAGAGAGAAACCCGTGGGCAAAAGTGGGATAAGGCAGTGCAACATTTAAACATCACACAATATTAATCTGGGTTTTGACAGTGTGAATTCATTATATTAATTTGATTTTTCTAAGTTGCAGCCCATAAAAATAGTAGTAGCTTTATATAAAAGGATGGCTAAATTTTAGAAATTCATTGTTTATATCTAATGCTGGGTGCAGGATAGAAATGGTAATTTCTAATTGCTTATTTAAAACCGTTCCCACTCTAGAGCTATTCCCCCTAGAACAGAGTATGCCTCTGCAACATTTAATATTATAAATCCTTTGGATTTGTGCTTTCTTATTTCAGCTGGCTCTTTCGAGGCAGCAGATAGGTTTCTCATATTTTATACCTCTGATGTCAGTGATCAGCACCATGACACACACTGCGATAAGGAATAAGGGTAATAATGTATGTTCCTAAAATATATGTAGGCTGCAGCATAGCATTCAAGTCCTCCTTACAAGTCAGAACAAGGAACACAGCCACTCTGCCGCTTTGAAGAGCACTCGCAAAGTTTCTGGAAATATTTCTACCATTAAAATTGTTGCAGCTTTCCCCTGTGGAGCAAAACAACCCTGAGAATACTGTACTCTGCTGTCAGTTTCCTCTTGGGTTAGTGAAACACAGCAGCCTAGAGAACATTGTCATAGATTATTTTTTAGATCCTGCAGGTATTATAATGGTGCAGACTAATGCAGCAGCTGGAAGTGCCAGAGAAATTGAGTCTCAAGTGAAAAATGAAACCGCAGATGTAGGGGACGTTGAAAATCAGTGGCTGCCTGCTAGCATGTAGTTACTCTGCTGGAAGCCAAATACACAGACTCCATACCTTCCTACCACACCTTCCTAAGTACAAGTATGTAAAGCTCACCAGTACCTGCAGATCAGAAAACAGTAGGTAATTCTATGCACCAGAAACATTTTCTCTTGTTTAGATTGCATTTTTGTGAGAAATCGGAGAGTATTTCAAAGTTTGAGTCTTAAATCCTCATACAAGTAAGTTTTCAGACACCTAGTGTCCTGTGAAGGACTTCCTCTTTGTGTATGCCCAAAATAGATTCCTGTAACTATCTGTAAATGTCTTCATTTCTTTTCAGTACATCTTCTGCGTAGAGGTTGTCTGCAATTAAGTCATTAATACCACAGATATGTTCTTGTTCCAGTGTTTTGGCATTCAGCACAGTTAGCAGTTTTTCTTTAGATCCACTTTCTTCTATACAAAAACCATTGAAGAACAAGACAGGAATTAGCATTTCACTTTATTTCACCTAATTGTGATAGTGGTTCTTCTTTGTTATCCCAGTCTTAGGAATCTCTGCATCTGCACTTAGCTTATCTGGCACTTACATTGGCCATACATTTAACAAGTGCCAAAAATATTAGCCTGCTTTTCTGTGTTTCATATAGATGGAGGATTCACTGTCTTTATAAATCACCCAAGAAAGACGGTGTAAATGTAAAATTGGTCATGTACATACCTTCATATATGCATGCTCTTGGAGACACCGGGCTGAAATCAAAGTTTCTCTGAGAACATCCTGAAAAAAATAAGAGGATAAAAAAAAAAAAAACCATGGTTACAGAGTATGAAAACAAGAGAAGTCATCTGTGCTGTTAACCTGAAATGCAGTAGTCACAAGATTCTCATGCATAGTTAGGGAAAATATAAAAGATTTTCAAATATTGTATGTTTAGTGCTTTGATGATAAATATTAACTAGGGGAGCTGATAAAACATATGGCCACTGACATATGTAAAATTAAGACAGTAACAGTTGTCATTGCAAATTTATGTTCACTACAAGGAAAACAATATAGGTTAACTTCATTTTAAAATCATACATATTTTGGAACCAGGGGCTGAAGAAGTTAACAGCAGTACAAACTGGAGTTTAAGTGAGTTTTTGAAAGGGTGGTGCTCTTTCATGTAAAACCCTTTCATATAGAACACTGGAGTGCGTTTCAACAGACAGAGGATACCACTGTCCTGCTGTGAATGGATTTCTATAGCTGCCCAGTATGGAACTGATAGTATGGACTAACTTTTTTGAATTAGTTGGTTTTGTTGTTTGGGAGTCTACTGGGTTGAATTCAGAACTAGAGACATGAACTCCTAAGTTAAAAACCAACTTTGAAGATCACTGGTTTTGGCTCGGGTGTGTGTTTTAATTTGAGGTAACAGAACAGCATTTTCAAGTCTGAGTGCCTGAAGTTAAGCATAAAAAAATAACCTCTAAAGAACTTTTAAAATTGTTTAGAACATTAAACTCTGATGGCTGGCAAAATTCAAAATACAGTACATGACTTCAGGGACTGTCAGACAAATGTCTAGAAATGAAGCTAAGTGTGCACACAAGGTGGCATTGCCCATGCCATACACCCTACACACTGTGGGGGTGACATTGCAGGTGTTCTGGGACTCACCTGCATATGAACAGTGACCATTTATGTAATAAATCCAGGTGACTGTCCACCTGAAAAGAGCTGTAGTTCAAATTATCGGGCATTCAGAAACACTTGATAAAGCCTTTTAACAAACAAAACACAGCTCTTGATAACAGTGTCCTTCCAAAACAGTGGATGGTACAGCTGTGATTGTCCTGTTGATGCAGCAGTGCTTGGTAAAGATGTATAATAGCACCAGCCATACTGAGGTGCAGAAATACTGTGGTTTACTGGTAGCGATGTATCTGCTCAACAATGCTCATGTCAAGAAAGATCCTTTATCTGTTGTCATCGGTGGTGTTTGGTTCACTTGCCTTGGCTTTACAACCTCTCCAGTGCAAATGAAAGAAGTGTCCCATACAAAAGTGTTGTGTCATGAATAAAAGCACAAAAAAAAGTTTATGAATATTAACTTTGCTAGCAAAGTCAGTAAAACTTAAAAGTTTGTTTTGAGAGCACACCTTCTCTGGTTTTTGTCTGTAATTTTAGAGTAGGTATAGGCAACTTTCCTAAGAGCTTTCATTATGAAATAAAAGTTCATTACATGGGGAAAGAATGACAGTCTCCCAGTTATAAAGATACTTGGATAGACAACATCTGTTCATACGAATTTAGGTATTGTCTAACTGTGGCCCTAAGAGAAATCTCATAAAAATCTACAATACCCTAGTAGCCACCTGTGATGACGTGGGATTTGCTCTATTTATTTGAATTTTTTCTCTTCTTTTTTTTTTTTTTTTTAAGGAGAAGCTCTGTTATTTTGTGCCCATGGCTTACTTTGCGATGTCAGCCTTTCTTTCTGACCCTTTGTATAGAGATTTTCATAGAATCATTTAAGTTGGAAAAGACCTTTAAGATCAAATCCGAATGTAAACCTAACCCTGCCAAGTGTTTTGCTTGATGAAGAAGAATTTGTCATTTCCTTGAAATGAGTAGTTGTTCATTATTAGCAAAATAGTTATTTTTCCTGTTTACAGGCTGAACAGTCAAAAGAAGAACAGAAACAAGGTTTAAGTGCTGAGAAATTGATGAGAAAAGCCTCTAAGGATGTATGCCGGTTACGGGAGCAGAGCCAGAAAGTGCCACTGCAGGTGCAGTCATTCAGGTAGGGCCTGTTCTGCTTTTCACTCTCTTTTTAATGTAGTGAAGTAATACAAATTATTTCTAAGCTTAAAGAGACATGCCTTGTAATGTTGGTCAAAAATCTACACACCTCTGAATTGCAAGAAACATTATATGTTTTTAAAATAGCTCTGAGTTGGAGTTTCAGAGGACTGGGCCTTGGTAACTTACTTATGTGGCAGCAGTGGCAGTATTTAGCTGAGCTGTGGTGGCGAGGAAATGGAGTGAAAAGTTTCAGACCTCTGTGGGCAAGCATGTGTGTGGCCATTGCCACAGCTCACCTCATCCACAGCAGATTCACAGTGGGCTCGAAGTCATGGGATCTTTCCCGATGATGGCAGGCGCCTGAAGCAAATCACCCTGCAGGGAGAAGTAGAACAGTGTACATCTTACAATTAACCACTACTTGTGCTTTGCTCAAGACTTAGTATTCAAGAAAGATCTTGAGTTCCTCCTCCTTTGTGTTTCTCTCCTCCTTTTGGTTGTGGGAACAGCAACCAATTACGTGAAGCAATATCAAGTTTTCTTGCTTAGCGTAAGCCACAATGAACACTTTCTATCTCAAACCTTAATTCTAACTTGTCTAAATTCCCAAAGGGCTGGCCAGTAAGTGGCAGGCTACCAGTGCAGAGGCCACACTTCCATGTAAAAATTTGAAAAATCCAATGCTCACTCTTCCACACAGGAAGAGTGTGGAATTTACTCTATTTGTCACTAAGTGATGTTCTTAAAGCTTGGCCTCTGGGTCCTGTATAGGGAACTTAGGTCAGCTACTAATAACTGCGAGGATTTTTTTTTTTTTCCCTTTTTAACCCAGTCTATCATGAACAGCTTGAGAAATCCATAAGCAGATAGGGGCCTGTGAGGCCTATATTTCAAACCACAATTGTAAATGATGCAGAATCAAAGCAAGAAAGGAAAGGGGTTTCTTAGCAAAGAAGTGTTACAGCTCAGGTATTTATCCTCAGTATGAAATTCGAGACATCTTCAAACAGTTTTCACTTTCAATGTAAGTTTGACAAAGAGTTTTAAGTCAGTGCTGGTCATTTAACAGTCATCACAAACAGACTGCTGCCCAAGTTTACAGGAATATGTAATAGAGCTCAAGATGTCGTTCCCCTGCAAGAGGGGTATCATAAGACACTATTCTCCTTTATCTTCTGATAACCACACAACTAGCTGAGCAGTCCATTTTACATAGTTGATTATGCTCTGAGTTCCCGTTTCTGATGGTAATTTAAGCATCACCAGTGGAAAGCATGGTTTAGTCTACTGGGCAAGTAGCTACCTCCTAAGGCTGAATTGTACAGGCCCCACTAGTTGGATTTGTTACACTGCTGTGGCCTCACAGCATAACCATGCAGAGGCATTTTTGAAGCTCTCAAGAAGAATAACTCTTCTGAGCTTTAACTTTTAAGCCCCAAATACTTATCTGTTTTGTAGGCTGCTGGCAGACAGGCTTTTGTAAACCTGTTATGCCTCAGTAATCTCTCAGTTCATAGGAGGCAGAAATGGTAACAGCACAGGGAAGCAACTAGAGAAGGGGTTGACAATTCTGCTTCTGAGGATTGCCCAGACCCAGTTATTTTATTATCAACACGCCCATCCCCCCCCCCCCCCCCCTTTCCCAAGTCAGGATAAAATGTTTTATTTTGCCTTTTTGTCCACCCACTACAATATCATCATAGGAAATCAGTGATTAGATCAGTATTTGAGCCTGACCACTGCAGTTACTAATGAAATATTGCTTTTACATAAATCTGCCTAAGAAGAGAATTATGTCAGAATGCCACATTTGCTGTAAATAAATACACTCTCTATTTTCCTCACTGTATATTTTCCAAACCTATATTTTAAAGAACGATGCTGTAGCATTAGCAACTCTACAGCAGATGACATTGGAGTCATGCCATAAATAGTAAAATAATAACTTGTTTTCCTTTCTAATTTCAGGGAGAAGATAGCATACTTCACAAGAGCAAAGATCAGTATACCAGCCCTTCCAGCTGATGATGTATAATTATGCATTTTCATTGAAGTGTTTTTCCACTTGCTCATCTTTCAGATGAACTTAGTAGTTCCAGTGACCTGCTTTGAAAGATCTTCTATTTTACATTCACTATTGATACATTTATTTGTAAGATACAGTGAATTGAATTGTATGCTTAAAAAATGGCAACCCCTCCCCACCCCCCGCGAACAACTGGAAAAACCAAAGTAGATTAATTTTGGTATACTGATGCTGATTTTGTACAGTTTGTATGTATTGCATGTGTTTTTATTTTGTAAAGATGGAACAAAGGCAGTACTAAGCATGTATCCTGTTGAACTGCACTGTGTTGAGAAATATTACGTTCAACAGAAGATTGTTTATCTTTTCACTATTTTCATGTGAGCAGACTGTGAAGATGGCTGATTTGCCATGCAATATTTTTGTACAAGAGTGTGACTTTTATAGTTTAAAGTTAACCACAAGCGTAAACTCCTTTCAAAAACATCAAGGCTGCCTCACAACAGCTGCTAATTAAATTCATCACTTGCATTGGAATTTTGTTTCTGAAAACAGTTTTTTGTGTTTTAATGTTTTGTAGGAAGAGACAAAGTTCAGTTTAGTTTTGTGAATGTACAGTACATTAACCTGCACTAAAAGGTTTCTTGCATCTGCGGGAGAGTGAGAAAGGCAAGGCAGACAAGTAACCCTAAAATCTCACTATGAGACTACCAAAAGGGGCAGCTGCTTTCTGTACTGGAAGCTAAATCAAATTCACTATACCAACATTGGAATTAGAATAGTCATATTCACTGCACACTTAAAAATGAGAGTTCCTCTATCTTAATCTTTCGTCCTAGAGGCTTTCTTACTGCCAACTAGGAATACCTTAAAGTGTTTGTTAGGTTCACAAATATGAAGATGTTTCATTAAAGTATTTGTACCAGCAGAAAAACCTGTCACGTACTAACTCGGACATCAGAACTCTTGTTGGTAAGGTAAACCCTTCCTGAAAAGGAAAAGCTCCTCACTAGAAGTGTTCACGTGTTTCGGTACAATAAATAACATTTTATAGATACACATTCACCCTGTATGCAGTTGAGGTGCACGGGGTTTAATAAACAGATGTTGCAAGTTCATCTTACATGAAGCAGCCTGCTAGGAAGAAGCATCGACTTGGATGCATTCTGTTAGAAGCACAGAACTTTGTATGTAGGCATTCAAAAAGCCCCATCTTGGTAAAGCAGTTGGGGTCTTATTTTCTGTGGGTACTGTGTGAGGGGGTGGACACTGCAGAAAAAAGGAGTTCATTTTCTACTTAAACTGTTTCATTGGGATGTGTTGAATTCACTGGCTAAAGTTTTCTTCTCCAACAAGCCACAGACTTCATCTTTCAAAAAGGCTGTAATTACTTGGTAAGAAAATGGGAGCAAATGCGACCGCAACATGGTAGCAGCTGCCTTAAATTCAAAGTGACAATTCTGTGACGAGAGGTCTGTGCAACAACCAAGGGTTTTCTTATGCACAGATAACATCAGATCACTTAAATGTACAGCCAAACATGCCATTTGGGGCAAGAGGGCTGACTGAACATCCTTTGTGAATGCCCCATTTGGTTTTTGTTTCTTGGGTTTGAGATAACATTGTTTGAAAGGTCAATTTAAAGAAAACAAACAAATCTGGAATTATTTAATGTAGAGGTGAAATGAAGGTTGACAGTTTCAACTTCTCCATTTGATTATATGAGTTGTTTGTAGAATGATGTTTAGATGTGTACTTTATGATTTTTCTTTTATTTATTTACACTCTTATTTATGTTCTGTTTAATATAGTTCAGTTCTGGCCATAAAAATATTTGACATTAAGGATATTGTAAAAAATATTTAGAACTGTCAGAGCTGTCTCAAGCTGCCAGATGAGCTGTTTCTCCTCACGTGTTGGAATAATAGTAAAAAAAAAAAAAAAGTATTATCATCTGATTTGTAAGCATGAAACGAGGTCAAAATTTAAGGAGTGCTGGCTTTAGCTTGCAAAACGCATTTTAAAATGAGAGACTTCTACTTATTCATGCTCCTTGTTTTCCAGATTGGTAAAGTTGAACATGTTTATAGGCAGCTTTTAATATTTCTAGAGTTCTGGTGGGTTTTTTTAACTAATTTGGATTATTCACACTTGAAACACTCAATAGAATAAGCTAAAATAATCCACACAGGTAAAGCTCCATCAGTTTAAAATTACAACTATTACTCTTGAAGTGAAATTTATTCTGCACAGCAGGGTATAACGAATGTAATTAGTTCTATTTCCAGGTACCAATGTCACTACAGTTGCATATATCAAAATCTAAATATCACTGGTACAAGGATATTTAGCCAAATAAGCAAAGTTTAGCAGAAAATGTAATAGAACAGAAATCAAATAATTAAGTGGGTTTTTTTTACTATTGCTATGTTTATACTGTATTAAATATCAAATGCTCAGGACTGAACTAAGTATTTAATCAGGTTATATTCTGAATGTGTTTCTGTTCTAATTTTGTCTGTAAGAGTACGCAAGTACATCACACAGATTAACTTGTCTCTGCACTTTCCATGTGTTTCAGTGATTGGAAAATACATTTTTTTTTTAACAAAGTTCTTTTCCAGACCACTGTTTTATTTAATTCTTTTATTCCTGTTCTATGCTTCTCTCTGCTTTTTTGTACAAACAGATGGCTGCTGCAGCTTTGTCAATGTAAAAATCATTGCAATTTATAGAAAGTTGACATCAATCGATGCCAAGTCTTAGGGTAAGTTAAACCAATTCATATGTTTGAAGCTAGCTCTTTACATTCATTAAGTAAAAACTGCAGTAGCAATGGACAAAGTCAACTCTCCACTGGATATCTCCTCATTATTATTGGGGAATACTGGATTTCCTTGGGGAGAGATTGTGCATGGATCGATTCAGTCGTTCTCTCTCTCTGGAGAATAGTATATTACATGACATTATGCCTGAGAACATTTAGTTTACTGTGATGGATACAGGTCCAGGGAACTTCATCCAAGGTTGTCCTGTATCAGGTTTTTGTAATGCATGTTGAACTGACACTACAAACTTTCAGGACTTAAACTACTACTATGTTTTGTACAAAACACATTGTTTAAAGGGGCCCCAGTAGGAATTCTGCTATTTAAAATACAGTCAAGTCTCCATGCATGCCTAGAGATTAAGAATTTTATACCTATTTATCCAAAACACAAAGCAAGCAAGCAAAACCCACACAAAACCAAAACGTGCAATTGATCAAATTTTGAGGAAACAGAGTGGTGACTTAGATCTCCATAGCTCATCAATTAGTGTAATTAAAATTGAAGGTAAGTAGTGATTA